GGCTCTGGTGTGCAGCTCCACGGCCCCTCCGTCTGCCCAAGCATCCCAGGAGGATGCGGTGTGCGGAGGGATGTGGCTGTCTGGCAGGGGCTGGGGGTTGCACAGGCCCGTCTGCTACCATTTACAAAATGTGGAGCAGGAGTCAGAGAGGAGAGGGAAACAGGTAGGTAGGCATGATGGGGCAGAGATGTCCCCTCTGCAGGCAACCCCAGTTATCCTGCAGGACATGCCGCTGCTGCTGGTGAGCCAGGAAGAGGAAGGAAAGGATCCAGAGGATACGAATAGTTTCCTCTATCAATTAACTCAAGCCTGTCATTGCCTCCCTGCTTAATCTGGATAATTAACAGCCCTTTCACCCACCAAGCATTGGGTTAGAATAAGTTATAGACACAAACTGGGCAAGTAGCCTTTGGTTTGTCTCCTATCGCATTGGCCTGGATGTGCTTCGGCTGGGTGCCTGCAGGGGCCGGGGAGCGCCGCTCGATCCCTGCCAGCAGACGGACAGATGGAAGGTTCCTGCACCTTCCCCTCTCCATGCCAAGCCTCTCACAGAGCCCGTACCTGTGGGCCTCATTCACAGGGGGTTTCCCTGTTCCCTATAAGATCTAACAGGCTTTTCTAATCCTGCTCTTTTTATTTGATGTACTGGCTGGTATTGTATAATGCTAATTTTTTCTGTTCAGTAATATGGCATTAAAACAAACGGCAAATGTGAAGTCCAAGTGTACTGTGCCAACACATTCACCTTCACCAACCTGGTTTCTCTGTGATTGGGGAAGAAGAGCAAAAGAATTGGCTTTTATCTGTCATCCGGAGCCCATAGGGTTCTTGTGACATTTCATTAATATGGAGCATTCAGGAATTAGCAGCAAATGCCTTTTAATCCCCAGGAAGGCAATTGGCTATTTAAAAAAAAAAAAAAAAAAAAAAAAAAAAAAAAAAAAAAAAAAGAAGCTTAATTTTGGTTTGGTTCCTCCTGCTGCTGAGTTACTGCCACAGTCCAGGGCCAAGCAGCACTGTGAAAGGAAGCTGCAGCCCCCGAGGCCACCAGTTCTCCGCTGGAAACCCACTTTGCACCCTGGTCTCAGCTCTCTGGGCTCCTTTGCGCGGGTGTTGCGGCAGGGAGCGTCGGAGGACGTGCAGCCTGGGCTGCCCCTGCTGCATGAAGGGTCCACAGGCACCCCACCCTCCACGCTTGATAGGGACATGGGATGGGGACACCGGTGTGACACCGAGCCCCCCCGATGCTCCTCACTCCGAGCAGTGGCCGCGGTGTGGGGCAGCACAAGCTGCTGCAGCAGGAGAGAGGTGGGAAGGGAATGCTCGTCCAGCCCGCTCGGCTCTCGGGGGGGCTGCATTCCTCCACACAAAGGTCCTCCTGTTTGTCCCATTAGTGCCATCATTAAAAACCAGTTAGTCTCCTACCGAGAGCAAACGCAGCCCAACCAGGGCCTTGCCGAGGGGCTGCACGGCCCCAGACCCCCGTGTCCCTCGCCAGCCCCTGGGAGCGCTTGGGTGAGCCGTCCTCCCCTCCCGCTTGTGTACTGGGGCTAATTGGTGCAGGGTGCCCAGGAGCCCAGCTTCGCACCTTGTTAGCACGGCAATTAGCTCTCTTTACCCTCCTGATTGCTCTTGTGCATATTTGACTCCACTCCATCTTTCCAGCGAGTTATAAATGCAGCGCTGGGGAGGCAGGGGGGAGTCGAGCTGGGGCAGGGACAGCAGAGCCATGCTGGGGACCGTCCTGCTGCTGCTGGCCCGGCCCCGGGCCGCGGCGGGGGCGGAAAGCCGGCGGGCTGAGGCGCTGAAGAGGCTCCTGGAAGTCTTTGGCATGGAAGACCCTCCACCCTCCCCAGCACACTTCAAGCAGCCGCCCCAGTACATGGTGGATCTATTCAACACCGTTGCCAACGCGGATGGCGTCACCAAGAACCCCGGCATCCTGGAGGGCAACACGGTCCGCAGCTTCTTGGATAAAAGTAAGGTCGGGGTCGCCCCCGTGGT